TTTTTCTTTAGGTCACGAGCAGTTGTCCAAGCATTTCACTGCATATCGTACTGTGTATGACTGTGTACGTGACAAATAAAATTTGAATTTGAATTTGATGAATGATTAACAGCGCGCTCATGCTCACAGGTGTTCACACGGGTGCGAACATTAATTGTTGGCTAACCTGTGAGAGAGTTGGCACAGGTGTGCGGTGGTTTTCTTGAGGCTGAAATGGCGTTCAAGTTGAATCAGCTGGAGCCGACGAGTGCTGGACCTACAGCTGTTGGTGAACAGGTGTCCAGAGGCTCGTTTGTAAGTAATAACATCCACCTGGTTCCAGTTTTCTGTGAATCCAGTGTTGAGAGCTTCTTCAGTGTGTTTGAAAGCATAGCAACTGCATTACAGTGGCCTCAAGACGTGTGGGGGGTAATGTTGCTGTGTAAATTGACAGGTAAGGCTCAGGAAGCTTGTTCTAGTCTGTCTGGGGACGACTGCCTAGCTTATTAAAGGTGCTGTCCTCAAAGCCTATGAACTTGTACCCGAAGCCTATAGGTGGCATATTCGAGGTTTGGAGTTGGCACAGGGTCAGTCCTACCTTGACTTTGCTCGGGAGAAGGCGAAGCTCTTTGATTGATGGTGTTCTGCAAGCCAGGTCAACAGTTTGGGGTCGTTACGTGAGCTCATGCTTGTGGAGGACTTTAAGAGTGCAGTTCCTGAGTGTATTGCTCTTTATTTAAGTGATCAAAGGGTTTCCACTTTACAGCAGGCTGCCACACTGGCAGATGAGTTTACCCTAACTCATAAAAAACAAATGCTGTAGAACGTGACATCCCTTCTCACTATAATACATCTTGGAAAGCTAGCAGTGGGCCAGCTAACAAGGCTAATGCAGTTGTGGTTTTAAGATCTAGGGCCAAACTGTTTCTTCTGCCACAAGCCTGCCATGTAGTTGCTAATTGTGTGAAACTGGCACTCAAGCGGAAAGCGCATCCGAAGGAAGGAAGGCCTGATTTGAAAACAATAATCTGGGGTTCTCAAACCGACAATGTTGTCAGGCCCAGTGAAAGACCACACTTTGGACATAGTTGCTTAAGGGGCTCCTGTGGTCACTGTAAGAGGTCAACTAACCCTGAGCTGCCGCTGGTTGACCATTTCTCAGGTCCTCAAAAGGACCTGCGGTGTGGCAGATCATATATAACACCACCACTCAGACCTGCACCCCTGGCTAAAAAAGATGCCTGTACCCGGGATGGGTATCGTTTAAGTTTTATGCGATACCGGTGCCAAACCGGTACTTTTGAAA